GAGTTCAAATAGATTAGCTCAGTTGGTTAGAGCCCGATACTAATAACACCAAGGTTGAGGGTTTGATTCCTATATGGGCCATTCACTTAAGACTTGTGAGCCCCTTCCAACTCAGAATATTCTATGATTCTGGGATGTTGTTGGCCTGTCTGACACATAGCTATAGCCTGAGAGAGTGTAGCAAAGTTCATTGAATTTCCAACAGGAAAGTTTTCTTGTAGAGTAACAAAAGTATACAAGGACTCATAAAAGCATCAAGTCTAGCTTTTTGCTTTCTGTCAGGTCCTCTAAGCTGTGCTACACCTTTGCATTGGAAATTTTATGTGTTTCCTTATCTATTACATTGTAGCTGATGGTTCCATAAAATAATAATGTAATTTCTTGTGGGAAAAGTTTTTCTTCAAGCATAATCAGAGATTGTTACCACAGTTTTACATGCAGCTTTTGGATTTTTCAGCACATGTTAAGGGAGAGGCTTGGAAGCTTGAAGCGATATTGCATATTGTTGCCAGTCAAATTAGAAGTGGCAGAGAGGTTTTCATGACATTTTGCAGAAAGTGCAAGAGCACATCAGACTTAGGAGGTTCTAGTATACATATATTGTAGTAAAGTATTTGCCAGCATCAGATTAGATTCGTATTTTAATTGCAGAGACACCTAATTCACCTCAGTCTGAATTGGAGTGGCCTTCTGCCTATTCAAGGAATTAATAGTCCAGTGGATTTGCATAGAAGAGAAAAGGAAAATCCAGTAGACTCTGAGAATCAAAAGAGATCGGACCCAAAAGCTGGCAGTCTTAGCCCCAAACCTGTCTACGAGAAAACATGAACCAGATCCCCAAAAATATAATGCTGCTCAAAGAATGTACCCTGTCTAAATCCCCCTTTTTACTGGGCTTAGTCTCCTGCGCTTTGGAGAAAGACCAGAGAACCCAAAACACACACATCAAATTATAACTTACTGCAGGGAAGTTTTTCTTTCCTGACCCCATAGATGACAAGTGAAATCCCCAAAGCATGGCATTATTAACCAAGCATACTTTTCTCTTCTTTTTTTCTTCTTTAATAAGCACCAGCAGGAGACATCTTTGCATTGGACGTGATAGGAAGTTAAGGTTCAAAGTCAGACCACTCAGGAACAGACGTTTCCTAGTGGAAAGCTATGCATGAGGATTGAGATTCTCAAAGGAGCCAAATGATCATTGGGTGCCCTTCCATGATAAATTGTAACATTGTAATCATCATTAGTAATGCTACAAACCCAGACTCCTAATTGTACAAACTTGAGTTAAAGCTGTCTTTGTTCCAGGATCCTGAACTCCATCATTACAAAAAAGCCTCATGAAACTCTGAAGAGGGCAATTTCTCAGGTGGAAAGCACCCCGTCGCCACGTTCCAGTCTGATAAGTAATGGTAACCAGTCATCCTTGCTTCTAAAAATGTTTCTTCAAACACAGTCTACCCCTGAATTTTAAATTAATTTTAATTGTGGTAAAATACAATTTTAACTGCTATTCTGTTTTGAAGATCATGTGATCTCCAAAAAGTAGTGCACAGTGATGAAATTTCCAATTAAAAATTGTTCAGTACATGACCTAATTTATAACAAGGTTATTTGTAGACTCTCAAATTCATCCCCTATTCAGTGAGTGGATGCAACATTTTGGAATAAGATGTTATAAATAAAAGTTGAATCCCTACATGAAGTACAAAATTGAAATCAACATTGACCACAGATCTGAGATCAGCTCTCAATAACAAGATCTGAGATCAGCTCTCAATAACACAACAGCTGCAGACTGTGGTTATCATCATGTCATCTAGAGCATTTTTGCAGATGCTTCATTGCAACAAACTGGAAAATTTGATTTTTTTGTTTAATTATACTTTCAATTTTAGAGAATGTTATGGAGACAAAGTAATTTCTTACTATAATTTTACAATAACAAAATAGCCATTCAAAAACTGGCAGTTCCTGCAGGTCAAACATCAGTAATTACTTGGAAAAAATCATAATAGCCAGACACACAGATCTTCAGCATTTTAAGGCTCCTTTGCACAACTTAATTAGTGCAACAGGCACTTAAATCTGTCCTAAAGCTGACAATGCCTCAAGCATTTCCTTAAGAGAGGGCAGTGCAAGTTCAGCTGTGTCAGGCCACACCAGCTGCCTGGCACGCCAGTCTGGGCGCAGAGCAAAATAAAGGAAAAATACAGTGACTCCCACCCTTCACCAACAGGGAGTCTAAGCTGTACTAGGGTCAGGATAACCTGGCAGCTTCTGTGACTGAATAGAGTAGAAAGCAGACAGAAAGGCAGAGGGAAAAACAAGCAATCCCACTGAGCACTGCTGTGCAACACCCAGGAAAATGCCTTTTCTTTGGGCCGGTTGATATTGGTACCGTGCACCCTGCGCTAGTGGCAACAAGCTTTAAACCTGTTACCAAAACCACCCTATACCTTTAATGGGAAAAGCAATTATTGTATTTTTCCCATGTAAACACACATCCCACCTAGAGCAGAGGAACATCTGAAGCAGCAGACTGGATACCCTACACGTCCTTGCCTTGCCAGTCAGAAAAAGAATTTGTTTTGTAAGGGGAGAAACAAAAGACATTCCAAGTGATTTTTAAACTTTCTAAAAAGATCTGAACAAAATTAATTTACAGCCATAAAAATATATTACACTGCTAAATGTACGTATTGGACATTAAAAATGTAAGGCATTAAAGATATTCTCTAGCATTTTTAAGTCTAAATGAATACATTTCAAAGGATGGGAAAGAATACATTTTCCCAGGAGAAAACAAACAAACAAATGTTTACGACCTTTATGTTCCTATGAAATACAGGAAATTCAACTAAGCTGCATTTCTGAAAAGCAAAAATAAGTACTTTGAATGGATAGTTTTACAGTACTAGCTCCAATAATCCATTACAATTATAGATGATTATGGAGCTCCAGATGAAGATCCTCTGTAAAGATTACTATGTAACAAGAAAGGGTGTTGGTCCTGAAAATACACTCTCAAGTTTCCATGAGTTTTGTCAAAATAGTCTGACAATCTCACATTATATGTATACAACTACTTGACTACTTCCACCATTGTCACTTCTGAGGTCAGAGTTCTCTCCACTACCCTAAATGGATCTTGGCCAAACAAGATGAGTCTATGGCACTAAAGCTGGTGTCTGTGCTTCCACTGTCCCTTTCACCTATGCTTTTCTGAAACAAGGAGCCTGAACATGCTGAACATTCTGTCACTTGCAGCAATTAAACTGTTCTGTCCTTCTGCTGTACTGTGGCACAAATTATTCTTCGATTCCTGCAGCTGTAACAGCTGTAATTATTTGCAGTCTTGTGTTCATTTGATCAGAAATTTTAGTGCACCCATTCATACTACTTAAAACACGGTGAGTCTCAGCTAACAGCCAAGGACTCTGAAGGACAAGGCGAGAATCAAGTATTACGTACAGAAAGTCTTGTTTCTATTTAGCATCTGAACTAATCTGTTACTGGATTTGTTTCACTTTTTTGTTTTCAGTTGCTATATCCCTCTGGAAAACCAAGGCTCTCCGAGTCATTCAGCAGTGTTACGTCAACTAACATATCAGTGCAGTGGATGTCAGCATCACCACACTCCTGGAGCACAGCCAGCACCGGACAAAGCATCCAAAAAGCAATAGAGACCACTTTCCTCCTTAGAAGGTTTCATTTTAATATTCCTTAAGGATGCTGATTATAAAGCTAAGAGATTACTGTAGAAACAATGTCCATCATCAAATTCAAGCTTTTAAAACAGATGGATCCAAGTCCTATGGCTTAAATAGTGACTCAAGCTTGTACAAAATTAAAGAGACAGATTCTATTATGTATTTTAATTTTCTCATTACTAAAGCAAGGAGGTTAGCCAAATTTTCAGCAGGCAGAGAGGAAGTAATTCCACGGTCATCTGTTAGTTCCCCTCTCAGTTTGAAACCATCTTACTCATTCCACCGAAATCATACCTGTGCGAGACCCAGACCAGGAGAGAATCAGGGTCTGGCATTTTGCTTTGGGACATTTTCGATCTAAGAGGGAACTATAAAGCTCAAATCCGAGAGCTATGTTTGTATTAAAACTATAAAAAAGGACTCTAATATGTACCATAAGCAAACAAGTCACAAGTCAGACTAATTATATCACTCTTGCCCTTTGCTTATAGCGATTTTAACTCTTCTCTAAATTCAGTCATCTGTTTCTAATTCAAGTACATTTCAATTTCCTCACTCAATATGAGGAGCAGCAGCACTAGTGCTCACCAGGGGTCCTCACCAAGGGCAAATAAGAGTCAAGAAAAACTCTGGTGCTCTGCAAAGCAAGCTGGCCTGGCAGTCCTCAACATGGGCTTTCAGTAACACCACTTGAACCCAGCATCCAGCTCACAAAGTATGGGCAAGTAGCCCATATAGGTGCCGTTTCTGAATGAATATAGTTTTAGCATTTTAAGCCAATGTTCAGACTTTAGAGGAAAAAAATATCAGATTTCCCCTCTTTTTTCTGTTACTACTTGCTAGAGAAACCATGCCAATTGTTAGAAACAGCATTTCCATCAGCTGTTGCCCTGCTTTGATGCATCGTTATTAGCAAAATATTATTTTGAATCCTGTAAGATGTTAAACCTGAATGTCTGTGTGTGAAACCCAGGGAGATGAAGACCAGCGTAGCAGGTTATGGGAGGAGCACAGCTGTGTGGTTACCAATTTATATTACTCTATAGTTCATATTGCACATATTCTTTTGCCTCAGAATAATAAGATAAAATGCAATTACCTCCAAAGGGGATATGGGAAATATTCTCCTTGGTGGAGGGGAGAAAGGGTCTGTATTTTCTATTGTTTATTTACAAGATGGAACCTAACAGTATTTACCATTTCAAGGGAAATTTTCTTCAAAGAGAATTAGTTCACAAATAGAAAATACGATGCAGATGAGGGAAAACTAATGTTTCTCAGACTTACTGTACTGACTGTAGAGCTGAGAAAAGACTGTCCCACATGTGTGCCTGGGATGGGTTTTCTTGATAGGATATGTAGCTGCAAGAACAAAAGGTAAAATGTCCTCATCACAGTGGGAAACTTTGAACAATACAGAGAGAAGGAAAACTACCAATCTATGCCAAATAATATTCTTTATAGCTGTTAGAGGTTTCACTATTGAAAATAAATATCCCCCAATCATATTTTAATAAAAGTTCATTAGGGGAAATTTTGGTTGATTTTGCATTTACTCTTGGAACTCAATTATTTTTTATTTTGCATTCAAGTGTAAATTAAGAGGAAATATTAACTGTATCAGGACTTTTCTCAGTTAGGGTCCCCCTAAGATTTTTTTCAGTGAGATTTTTTAGTCGAAACACTTAATAATAGAAACAACATCTGCAGCAAAAAGGGTACAGACAAGGCAGACTTTTTGCATACTTCAATAGTTCTGTGATTTCCAGATAACCTGCGTGAACCAGTCACTACTTTGTCAATGAAAATTTGAATTTAAAAAAAAAATTGTTAAAATATTGCCGCAAAGTTCTAACAAGGAAATCTTTGACAAAATGAGTTAAATCCAGCACTCACATGTATTAATATCACATACCTTATCTAGACAATTTCTCAATCAATTGTAAACAGTTAAATCTCAAGCACTATTCTTAACCATACCTAAATTGAAATACTATAATTTTTTTTTGGTAGATTAGCACAACCTCCATGGCACATACTTAAAATCAACTTCACACGAAATCAGAGGCATGTGCAAAAACCGACAAGCCAGAATGATGAGGAATACTCTCAGCTTCTCTGAGTAGTAGCAGATGTGAAGCTCTGGCAGTACAGCCTCCAGTCAAAGGATTAAAAGGGGTCTTAATTCACATTTGCTGCCAGATTTAGATGAATGAGCTACAGAAACACCTCCAGTTGACTGCTACCTCCCATCCACCCCCCACTACAACTTCCCCGCTGACAGCAGGCACAGCTGAGTGGATACATACACACTAAATCACTGTTTACTTCTGGCACAGTTACATAAAAAGAAATAGGTGGGTATACCATTAGAGTGACTTATTTGACACTCTGTATGCAGTTATCAGCATTCAAGTAATCTCCCCATTCAGAAAGGGGTTGGAAAGAGAGATGGCTTCAGGCCTGTCGCTGGCCTGCGTTTCTTCTGAAGAAGATCTCCACAGAACAAGTCACACTTCTTCAACAGGCTGGACAATGCCCACACACATGGATTTGTAAGAGTACAGGTAATGTTGCCATCTAGTGACTCCTGCCATAGCAATATTGGCAGGATTTTGATTGGGCAATATGAAGTATCCTCAGCAACTACAAAGTTTTCATCAGTCTGACAGGTCACACACTGTGTAAGTTTGAGAATTGCAAATTTTCCATATCATAGCATATTATAATAATCAAATCATTTTACAGTCTGTCTTTGTCTATATCTTCTAGAAAACCATTACAACCCTTCTTCAGCCTGCTCATGATCAAGCTGATGACCCTTGGAAGCCTATCACAGATTTTCCTGGCACTAGACTATTATCTCACGTCACCTCCTTAGACTTCTACAAAAAAAATTAATGATGACATTTTTGTTAAATTCAGCTTGCAAGGTGCAAATAGATCGAAAGAACATTCTTGTAGCATGCCAGCAAAAATATCCTGCAGCTGTGCTACATCTCCAGCACATTAACCAAACTTTGACAGAGACATGCTGCAAAACATCCTTTTCAGAATGACACAAAAAATTCAATCTTTCATCTAACTTGTTGCAGATACAGCAAGACAGGACCCTATCCTAGTGCAACTCTGGCAGAGTTGTGATCCAGTCTGAAGCATTTAGCAATCAGTGCTTTTGCTTATAGAAGACACTTCCTTTTCTCAGGGAATTTGGGGCAAACCTCTCTGCAGAGGTGATCTGAGGGAGATGCCATCTCAAGACATTTGGTATGTTTGGTGTGATCCTTCTCCATTTGGTTTTTTGAAACTGGAAGAATAGTAGCAATTTCCCTTCAACAGGCCCATACTGGAGGCTTTGGGGGAGGTAGGGAGAGGACAATATCAGGAAATAATTTAGTAGGAAAGCAAGCATGACTACCAGATACAGAAACATGCAAAATGCTACAAATAAAAGCATGAAGGCTAGCTGTAAAAAAGATGGTTGGGCTTGGTTACAAAGAAGTGAGGGGAAAGCAGAAACAGAAGTGAACAAAATTAGAGAGAGCTTTAAGAAAAAACAGTAAGTCAGGGAAGGCACTCAAAGAGAAAGAATGTGCACTCTTGGACAAGAGGAAAAGTACAGTCCTGAGTAGCCAGGAGACAAGCAAGGCAAAGGTCCAAGTTAAAATGGGTTCCAAACAGATAAACACCTTTGACACTCATGGAATTTGTTAATGTCCCACTACTCAAAGTAAAACTGGAGGATTTTAATGATGTTGCTTCATTCTGTGTCTCACACTGACAGCCGGCACTCATGGGTCTGTTTCATGGATTACTCAACAGCGCAGGCACTGCAGACAGAGCTTGGGCTAGGTATGATTTTAACATAAATCATGGAACAGCCTCAGTGCTTTGCTTTCATATCATTCTCACACTTGAATAACTTTAGGAACAGCAGCTGTATAACTCAGAAAACTGAGAAACCCTGACAATGTCTCCATTGCAGTTGGTCTAGCTAAAACAACTCGGTGCCTTGGGAAATTGGTCTGGCCTTTTGTGTCATTCAGTGTTGCCACTGGCCTCCAGCTCTACGTTAGCTTTTCTCATGCATTCCAAGATTTACTCTGTTATTCTCTCTGAAGTTTTTTCCACAGTTTGTGAGCACACCAGTGCTTTCACTCATATGCACACAAGCCTGGAAAGGTCAGAAGTCACAGATGTTTTGCAAAAAACATAGAACCCATGACTTGCATGAGGTCTGCGTCTTACTCATAATACAGAGAGAAGGATATATATCCTGCATATGGAAAGCATCACATTTAACTCACTTAAAACATGAATCACATTTCTCATTCTTGCATAGCTCATCCCAGCTATATAGTGGCTGCTATCACATGGCTAACATCCAGCTCTGAAAAACTAAAAAAATAAAAAAATTTATCACGATGAAGTACTGTTCCCCATATATGAAACCTTGAAGGCATGACCAATGAAGAATGTACCATTTCAGAATAGAAAAAGACTGAACAATACAGAACACTCATCTAGCACTTGTATCATACATATAGCAGGCATGCCTAGGTCTCATTTATGGGCTGCCACCCATATTGATGTTTATATAGTGCAGAGTCAAACAAAGAGTTGCTGCCTCAGAAGCCTTACAGCTTAATTCTCCTACCAATCCTTAGGTCAACTCAGCCATAGCAAGTAACAATGACACATTCCGAAAGCAGAAATGGACTCCTGTAAAGACATGAGAGTGTTTTAAAATGCACTGAACCCAGTCTCGGAGGAGAGTTAAGAATGCCTCATGAATGCTCTAGCTTAGCCAGAAGTTTTGTAGTAGCTTTTCACTCCCTACTCCTTCCAGCTGCATCTTAGGAGTACAGAGTCATCATATCCGATTTCATCTGAGATATACTCTCAATAGAAAGGAAATGCCCACATACTTGATTATGCCATCTTTTGCGGTGTTTTTTTTTTATAGAGGGCTAGCAGCACCAAAGGTCTGTCTGGACTCAAGCAGTACCAAAGGTCTGTCTGGACTCAAGCAAAGCTTTAAGTTTTCTTGTAAGCCAAAATTTTTTTCATTGGAACTTGAATTTTGGAGCTTGTTTCAACAACCAAGCCTGAAGCCCTATAGGAAGTCATGAGTTCTTAGCTCCCATTTTTGTTCAACATACAGAGCATAGTCTGTACTGGAAAATATACCAGCTTCTTAGGCAGAATGAATAATCACATTTGTTGCCCCTAAAATCCACCATTCTGAGGAAGTCTGGCATACTCAACTTTTGCAAGACCAGTTTCCTATCTGTGGATTGTCCACACTGACATCTAAATTAGGCAAGACAGAAAGGCAGTCTAGGACAGCAACAGTTCACAGAAACAACAAACACCTCAACAGCTCTTAGTAGTGTTTTGGTTTGGTTTTGGTTTTTTGTCCCTCCTTGGTAAGGATTTAGATAGAATAGCATAAGTTATATGAAGAGATGTGGAAACAGCCACCAAAGAGAAAAGCAAACTAGGCAGAGATGAAGATAAAATCTTGGGGATGAAGCATAGCTGATAGAAAAGAAAAGGAAAGAGAAGATGAAGTTGCTCAAATAGATAAGATTAAGATTCAGTCAGATCCACTCAAAGTTCTGCAGCAGTTTAAATGGCCCATGGCACTGTTTAAAAAAAAAAGAAAATTTATTTGGCCTTGCTCCACAGGGCCTGGCAAGGTTTCTCTAGATGTATGCAATGTCACTCACTCAGTCACTGAGGGTGTGACCCAGACCACCTTTCCTGCTGCCCCCAGCTAAGTACTATGGCCTGACAGGGCAAATAATAGGGAGTAGTAAGTTGAAGCTGCAGTTTCTTCCTTCTACTTCAAGGCAGCATACACAGAGGGTCCAGGAAGCCATAGGCAAGCACAAGGCTACGAACCTGAGCTATAAGAAATATTGCAGAAGAAAAGCAAAGGAAATGTGCAGTTTGAAGCTAACTTCCTCCATCCAATACCAGAGTAAAGTGCAGAATGTGACACACAGCATCTGCAGCACATGAACTCCCACACTGCCCAGCATGCATGAGTTACCCTCTGCAGATGCCCTCTCCATGCAATAGGCCTGAAGTCATCTTTGAAGCCACACTGGGACTTGATTTTGAGGCTGAAAAAGTTGGGTGGGAGCACAGGGCACCGCTGAAGTGGGGTATACAGGAGAGGTGAGAGGGAATTCATTCAGGCAAGCTTAAACATGGAATGCTGAAGGACAAGGAGGAAACATGATGTGTCAGTCTTAAAGAGGGCCTATAAGGGATGGTCAGAGGCAGACTGACTTTAAACACCATTTCTGTCTGTAAGGCTACAAAGAGCACATGGTTGGTATTTGATACGAGGGAG